TTGGATGTTTAATTTGAAATGCCCATTAACATTCAGAATGGAGATGTCAACTGGGCCATCAGGTTTAGGTCTAGAATTGAGATATGTCTGTGCTGAAGACACTTATTTGAAAGCAGTAACAAGTTTGAGAAATACTCTACAATGCTGGAGATAGCCATTTGAACAGATAGTCAGAAGACATTGCTGAGACAGCTGGTCAGAAGCAATGATTTTCTGTTATGGGCAGAAGAGAAGGAGTGGCCAGTTCTTCCTCCTGGATTACAAGAGAGGCGTCAGAGATTTCACTGAAACTGAGAATTGGCTTGCTTATGGGGGGACTCCAAGCTGAAAAATTACAGGCCCAGAGACGGATAATATTTCAGTTTTGAATGTTGTGGGATTCCAAGTATTTTGGAAATACCAGAAGCATTGAGCAATGCCTTTCAAGGAACAGGATGAGAACAGGAAATATTGCTACACCTTCCTGACAAGAGAAGCTAGACTTAAAAACTTTTACAATTCAATTAATTTTCTGTATGTTAACTTAATGGTAAGACAAGAAAAGTTCTTGTGTGTCCTTTTAATTTTGTTTTTTAAATAATTCACTTTCATTGTATTTTATAATATCACTGGTACATAATAAATTTGCAGGAAAGTTAGTCTTTCACCTCAAATAGATTGAAAAGTTCAGACTTAGAATATGAGGAGAGCACCTGGCCATAAATAAGACTGGAAATAAGGAGCAGGACACACAGGTCTTTGTGGGTCATGTTGCATTATTTGAATGTGCTCTCATAAGAAAGCCAATATGTTTAAAAAATATATTTAAAAACCCTTAGAAAAATGTATCTCAAGCATGTGCCAAAATTTACTAATGTACTGGGGCACCTGGGTGGCTCAGCTGGTTAAGCGTCTGCCTTCAGCTCAGGTCATGATCCCAGGGTCCTGGGATCGAGCCCCACGTCGGGCCCCTGGCTCAGCGGGAAGCCTGCTTCTCCCTCTCCCTCTCCCTCTGCTCCCCACCCCCACTCGTGCTCTCTCTCTTTCTATCTCTCTCTTTTTCTCAAATAAATAGATAAAATCTTTAAAAAATAAACTTCTTTGCCTTCAGAAAGTGTTTAATGCATCTGCAAGTTGATGTTAGCTAGCTCTTAGCACCTCTCACTTTGGATGTTACCCTGACATACTAAACCATAAAATTAACATATAACTCATTCATTGTCACACTGATAGTTTCTATTTATTCCAGTTCACATGTTTATTCTATTTATACACATTTAATATATCACAGACTACCCTCTGCCTCTGCCCCTCCTCCCACTCATGTGCTCTCCCTCTCTCTCTCTTGCTCACTCACTTTCTAATAAATAAATCTTTAAAAAATTTACTAATGTACTAACGGGTAAATCAGCAAGTTGTTGGCACGATAAGAAATGTGGGTTTCAGGAAGGGTGTGGAATTGGAGGAGTGACAAATTTGGGGACCAGAATATGTACCAAGTCAGGGTGATTACCATTTCATTTCACAGATTCATAAAAGCATGACGGCCAAGTGCATTTTTTACACAGGAAGTCTGTAGAAGGATGATCTGAGATGCCAGGTGTGCAGACATAAGGTCAGAAAAAGAAAGATGATGAAGCAACTGATAAAGATACAACTTTGTCTAAAACTGGGGTAGCATGCTCCCTCACAGGAAGGCACTGATGTGACAGAGACCTGGAAGGACACGAGCTCTGATTTCCAACATTGCTGGGGTTTTCCCCGCAAGCTGGAGACACTTATGCACTTCTTTCATTTCTTACTTGAGGATATTTTATTTACCTTTTTGACACAGGAAAGAGTGTTTGGTCGGGATGAGCTACGATGTTTCATTTTAGAAAGATAATGGGGTCTGCAGTGTGGAGGATGGAGTGAAGGGGTCCGAACACATTTTCAGGAGTTACTGTGTAAACTGACAAAGGACTCAACTAAAGCAATGAGAGAAGATAAATCTTGGCTACACAATCTAACCCAAATCAGGAGTTAAACAGCACACCATTGGGGGAAAAGTCAGTTTGCTTTATGGCAAAGAAGAATCACCGTCTGTGGACTTGGCTTCAGTCTTCTCTGAAACCTGGCTGAGGTCATGCCAACAGCTACAGGGCAGGGTTGTGAATGAGAATTAAGGAGGGACAGAGCTAAGACCTGGGAGTACATGTATGAAGAGCCCTCATTTATGTGGGGGACATGGATTTGCATCCCTCAAAGAGTCATGCCACCCTGGAAGCCCTTTGCAGTGGTGTGTGCACCAGAGCTGCCTGTGGGTCCTGTAGGGACAGCTCTGCAAATGGTACCAAGGATGGTGGGGGACCAGCGGCACAGTGAACTAGCCTGCGCTCCGAGTTTGTCCAGAAACCATTCTGACTCTTCTTAAATGTGTGCATCCCCAGAGTTACTGAAAAATCCAGCTTAGGTCACCTCAAGAAGGAAGTAGTGCATTTCTTGCTAACAAAGCATGTGTGGGATTGGGCTGTAGAGCACTTTGTAAGGTTGTATGGCCTTAAATAGCATTCAAGGACAATTAACTATATGCCCATCATGATAGCACAATTTCCTTTGTTTTCTTTTTGGCTTATTATGTCTCTATATTATCCACAGGAAAAAGAATACTTTTACATTGTTGAAAACATAAAATAGAAACCCTCTCACCTGCCCCAAAGACAGTCAGAAAGTTGGCTGGTAGAGCAGAAAATCAGAAGAATGACCCTTATATCATTGAAATGTTTTATTTCAACTCGAAAAGTCTAAACATACACATATTTATAAATATTTTCACTTAGGGATAAAGCTTTTGCTTTAAGTGTTGGTCCATGTGATTGGAGATCTTTAGAGCATATCTAGCATAAGTCCACCCATAATTCATTAGAAAAATTCTCATGGATTTACAGATGAGCAGGAACTTAGAGTCACTTGCAAAATAATCTAAGCAAATGACACTTCTAGGTTTTTATGACTTTCCTTTCTTCTGTGATTTTCTTGGTCATATTTTATTTTTCCAAAACACTCCATCTAGTTATATTAGAAACAAATAATCTTTGGGACACCTGGGTGGCTCAGTTGGTTGGGTGACTGCCTTTGGCTCAGGTCATGATCCTGGAGTCCTGGGATCGAGTCCCTTATTGGGCTCCCTGCTCAGCGGGGAGTCTGCTTCTCCCTCTGACCATCTCCCCTCTCATGCTCTCTCTCTCTATCTCATTCTCTCTCTCAAATAAATAAATAAAATCTTTCAAAAAAATAAAATAAAATAAAGAAAAAAAGAAACAAATACTCTTTATTGCAGTAATACTTCACCAGCCCATACTACAAAATTACATATCACAAGCAGAATAATTAGAATAATAAATAAACTGTCACAGATGGTCTTGAGAACAGACACAGACAATTTAACTTGTAAGGGCTGAACCTCACAGACACCGCAGGAAGTAATGTGCTGGACACAAGTGTTTATTATACTGAGGGAATCAGCCAAGGAGCTTTCCACAGGGAAGAGAGTGTGATGGCTAACTGGTTACATAAAACATGTTCCCTGTTTACAAGTTATTTTCATGGTCTCATAATTAATGATAACCATTTTTCCTTTGGGTGATGATGAAACATAATTTTAACAAATCAGGAGATTTTTATTCTAGTATGGGCTGGGTCACTGGGCGGAGAAAAGGTCTAATTAATAGTGACTGACTCTCTGAACCAGAAGACAAGCTATGTGCTCACTAGATAATTCACATATTCATAGAAAAAAACCAAAACCCTCAGTTGTCCAGATGAAAAAAATTCAAGGCACATCAGTTTGAAGAGTTTTAAATAACATCTCAAATTACATGGCTTGAAATAATAGATTTAAAATAATAAAATAATAAAATAAAATAATAGATTTAAAATCAATTCCTTTTAGTATTTATAGTTCAAATTATGACAATCGTTAGAGTCATGTAAGGTTTACATTGTGACCTTTGCAGGGTCAGTGAGCTGCAAAATCTGGGCCTTTTGAGCCTTTCCAGAGCATTTACTGTGTTCCACGTTAGCAGCAAATGTGATGTCATTAATGGTGGTTTTAGGTCCATTACTAAAATAAAATTATATCCACTAAAAACTTGAACACATTACCATGAAAACAAAGCAAAACTACAAACAAAAATGAATGTGTTTAATTTATAATTAATATAATAAGAAACTAGCTTTAAATTTTGAAAAAAATCAACATTTCTGGTAATACTGATTCCTTCAGAAGCAATAAATATTTGTTCTTTTGGCTCTCATAACTCTTATTTTATATCCGTTTAACAGATCTGATCATTGTGCACTGTCATAGTTTTCTTTCTCCGTTCATGTTCCTACCCCTCCCCCACCTCTGTAAACTATCAACTTACTCGTCTTAGTTTTTCCACTTTGTATGGAACCTGGTACATAGTTGGTTTACTACTTGTGGATGCCTGTGTCCTAGATAAGATGCTGTCCATAGTTTTGGATACTGTTCTCTAATCAGCCAGGAAAGCTAACCGTGGCCACCTTTCAATTTGAGTATTGCCTTCCCTTAAAAGAAAAAAAAAAATATATTTTTCTCTTTTTGCCAAGCGTGAGTTGTTTTATAGTTTGTCTGTTTGTTTGTTTTGAGAGAGAGTGTCAGCAGGGAGGGACAGAGGGAGAAAGAGAGAATCCCAAGTGGACTCCATGCTCAGCATAGAGCCCAACGCAGGGCTCAGTCTCATTACTCTGAGATCATGATCTGAACCGAAACCAAGAGTCTGATGCTTAACCAACTAAGCCACCCAGGTGCCTTGGTTTTTTTGTTTCTTAACCAAGCATTGGACAATGTAGCATGTAGACGGACTCATGCTTTTTCTGGACTGGGAGGAAAGAAAAGGGCAACAGTGGTCTTAGTCCTTGGAAACATTGTCCACATCAGGACTGAATTGGCAAAAGGGCAAAGAAAATATCCTGCCTTTGACCTCTGTAGAGTCCCTCATTAATTTTAGGGTTTTTTGTTAGATCACCTTGGTTGCCACAGGCATTCCCAGAACTCTCTTGAGGGCAGTCTTCACCTCCTGATTCCTCAGACTGTAGACAAGGGGATTAAGCAGGGGAGTCACCACAGTGTAGGTCACTGCCACAAACTGATTCTTGTCTGAGGCAGACTTGGATCTGGGCCTCAGGGAGATGATGGAGGCACAACCGTAGTGCACGAAGACCACCGTGAGGTGGGAGGTGCACGTTGCAAAAGCCTTTCTTTTTCCCTCAGCTGAGGGGATCTTCAGGATGGTGTTAAAGATGAAGCCATAAGAGATGAGAATCAGCAGGAAAGGCACCATGATCACCAGGATGCTGAGGCTGAATAGAGCCAGTTCCTTCACATGGGTGTCTGTGCAAGCCAACTTAATAACACGTGCCATGTCACAGAAATAGTGGTTGGCCCTGTTGGGGCCACAAAAAGGCATGTCACAGATGAGGTTGGTGGCCACCAAAGCAATGAAGGAACCCATGACTCCGGACCGGGAAACCAACCCCAACCCTAACCTGTGTTCATGATGAGTGTGTACCTCAGAGGGTGGCAAATTGCCACATAGCAATCATACCCCATCACAGCGATGAGAAAGCAGTTGGTGCAGGCAAAGCCAAGGAAGAAGAAGAGCTGGGTGGCACAGGCCACAAAGGAGATGCTCTTGGTGGCTGAGAGCAGGTGGACCAGCAGCTGAGGGATGATGACAAACGTGTAGCAGGATTCAGAAAAGGAAAGAATGAACAGGAAACCATACATGGGAGTGTGCAGAGTCCAGCTGCAGCAGATAACAGCCATGATGGTGGCATTGGCCAGCAGGATTGTCAAGTACAGGAAAAGGAAGATGACAAACAGCAGCAGCTGGAGCTCCCCTAGGCTAGAGAAGCCCACCAGGACAAACTGTGTAACCATAGTGGTTCTATTGGAACTGTGCATCTGGATGACTTCTTTCTGTGAATGAGTTTGGGAGAGACAAAATGACAACAATCATCGTATTAATAACATTTTTCCAATGCCTTCTCTTTCAGTATCACATTTTCAGGCCCAGAATATTGATAGGTCTCTCCCTCTCTCTCTCCCCCTCTGCCTCTCTCTATCTTGACAAAGATACCCTCTTTGATGATTTTTACAAGAAATTATTAATCTCCAATAATGGGATAATGATTAACTGTATTATAGAAATATACAAAGATTAAAAGAAGCAAGAAAAGAAGCAACTTCCATATTCCCAAAGACTATGTGAGGACATGAGAAAGTCTCCTACCATAATAAGAGAAAAAGCAAACTACTAAGCCATATTTATAATAAGATACCAAGCCATATTTATGATAAGATTAGAGATGATTTGGGTTTGCTTTCTAATATATTTTTATATTTTAAATATTTAACAATAAACATATTTTAATTTGATGATTCTAAATATACTTCACTTTTAGCCCAGAATATTTCCACCTCATTTTGTTGGGAAGGATACTGTCCAAACATAAATAAGAATGATTTACTACTTCCAAATATATTATTATTTTTCCAAAATAAAAAAAAAAGACTTTTGGAATATCCAGATATCTAAATTACACATGTCATTTATAACATCTGCTGGTGCAGATGATTCCTAGGAGCATGATATACCTGTCCTCTGACCACTACCCGTCACAGTGGATGGCCTGCTAGGATGGGGGCAAGCAAGAAAAGCACATGCCATGGCCAAATACAATCAGCAGATGGGTGCAATGATAAAAGCAAACATTATTTTTAAAGTTCAAGAACAATTCCTGGTGGAGAACAGTCTAAGAATCCAACTCATCATTTGATCTTCATCAGAAGGCATCTTGGAAGTTCAGAACTGGAGTGGTGAGGTAAAGGAAAGGTAGATTTCTCATGTTGCATTGGGAAATACATTTCCACTATTCCTTTTAAACGGGGCTGTGTATGGCACTTCTGTTGTCAGAGGCAGAACAGTGACCTCACCAGCCCTGCTTTGCTTCAGGAAATAGACCATCTCACCAACGCTCTCTCCACATCACACCCTTGGAAATTTTTCTACCAGTGCATAGTTCAGTCAAGACACAGGAGGAAGGAGTAGTAATAGCCTCTTGAAAGCAGAATTTCTCAGGGTCTAACTTCAAACATTTCCTTCCCTTAATTTTATAGGGTGCCATTTTATAACACATGCTTTCACTCAGAGGGAGATGTCTATCATGTCTAAGCTATTTTATTGCTAGAAATGTTAGCAAAATACAAATAGCACCTATTTCATAATAAAATAACATCCAGAGCCCTAATCATCTTACTTTCAGAATCAGGTTCAGGAACTTAGGAGAAATCCAGTATACTTGCACCTCACAACATCTCTCAACTTGTTGGCTCCTCCAATGACTATAAAGTATTAGGAATAGCTTCATGTGATGCACTGTGCACATTCACTCTTCATCATCTCTGCTGTAGCTCCTTTGCTTAGGTAGTTCCACACACCTGCCATTGTCACCCTTTCCCTTTGTATGGCACTTTGCAGAAAACAAGATGTTATCAGGTAAGCTACCTCAGTTTGGCCCTCACCACCCAGTAAACCGCACAACTGTCTTTGTATCCTTGTTATAGGTAAGGCAAGTGCACCAAGTGCCCTCTCCTGAGCAGAGTAACCTGGGAGCCTCCTTGTCTTTGCACTTAAGGGGTTAAATTGAACTCATCTCTCATGTTTGGCTCCCTCTACAGACTATTAGCTTCTTATAAGCAGGGATGAACTTTTTTTTTATTAGTAGCTGAGTCCCTAGCATAAAGCATAATTTCTAGTTTATCATAGGCTCATTTTTTAAATCTGAAGAGAATATAAAAAACTAAATAATATGCTCAAGTAGTAGAGTCAGTACCAAAATTTAAGTCTTCTAACTTCTTTTTATTTTTTTTTATTTTTTTTTATTCTTATGTTAATCCC